TTTTTTTTTTTTTGGTTTAGTTCCTCGTTGTGTTTAGTTGCTAATTTCAGGAATACCACGACTGCAACGCACTTCCTACTCGATAAACTTAGGACTGCCAGTAAAGTGCCCTGTCGCATTTGGGGACTGCCTAGTCCGTTGCCATTCTCGCACTACGAAAAAGTGCCTAGAAGGGTTTTTGAGATAGGTTTGGTTGCTAATAATATTTACATAATAGCTCAGAAAGTCGGAAAGCAGCAATGTGTGGGTCTATATGCAGTGAGTAGGCACAGCAAAGTAGAGAAACACATGTGCTGAAGAAGAAATGTCCTGTTAAAAAAAGGCTTACTCCGATCCATTCGCAAGGGACGAGCACTGATAAACATTAGCACTGTCCAATCGTGCCAGTATCGTTATCGGACGACGGGCTTCGCTGCTGGTGTTATGGACATGATTACGGCTACTGCTACTGCTGCTGCTGCTGCTTGGTAAGCTTCGAGTAGGCAAATTTCGAAGCTGAGCAATAGTGACACGCAGAACTTCAACAAGTCGCAAGTGTCCATCGCAGAGAATTCGGCCTAGGCGATGATGTTGACCACTGGTCATGCTGTTCTTACTACCGCCATCATTTTCCACAGCCGCAGCGACTGATGCTGAGGATGATGATGCTCCAGATACCGCTACTGCTGGCGATGTTAGTGGTGATGCTGATGAAGGTAGTACGAAGGATGGGGAGGCCGACGTAAACGATGTTCTTGATGTTTCGGCTATTGATAGCCGTCGCTCATTCGGCTCACATTTGCTCATCACATAACAGGTGTTGCCTAAAGCATACATGATAGTTGAAAATAACAACTGGCGGTTGCTGATGCTTTTTTGCATTTTAGCACGACCTCGTGCAAAGCAGAATGATCGTTAGCAATGGCAGCATTTATTGCATCAAAGTTTAATATTCGCAAACGTGTTGAAAATGATTTTTTTGGCTGTTTCTGTAATGTTTGGGGAGGAAAACCCTGGCTGAGCCAATGGCGATGCATTGTGTGGTCTTAGCTTTCTCGCATTCGTTTACCGTGGGAGGAGGATGCTGGCAATTTTGCAAATGGAATTTTGACTTATTCAAGCATAGGACATGAACATACATGAAAACTCATCTTATCCTCGTGAGCCCGATATGAACAGCAAAAGCACGACTTTCTGCTCAGTCTAGTTTTCAACTTAGAAGGATGCCAACAATTTTGCTATCTGAAATTTGCAGTATCTTTAAGGGCGACACATCAGTAATTTGATGGCTGATTTGAAGTCTTTAGGTCGCACATGAAGAGCAAGCATCATGAAATTTCAGCCTTCTATCTTGTCTGATTGGCAAAATCATTTTCTCGTCAAATTCTTTCAATCTTACTTCGAAGCGTCAATACTCAAGAAACCTTCCCATTTTGGGCTTGTGACTAAACATACTTGAAGAAATCATTTCCCAGGTTGCAAGCGTAACTAATGCCATATTATTTAAATCAATAGCTGATAGAAAGCTCAAATAATTTTCGTGGTTCCTCCGTCTTTGGCCGGGTGCAAGTTCAGACTTTAGCAAGTCCTGACTTTAAAAACAGGTGAAGCTCCGAAACGTCGTTCCCGAAAAAAAGAACTAAGCTAATTATCTATTTTTTCCGCCATGAACTGAACCCTAATTTAATCACTCGTCGCGTTTCGAATTTTTTATACTTGATAACAGCTGTTGGGAGAAGCAGTTGAATTTGAAGCTGAGTTAGGATTTTTGCCGCTGCAAAGAAAATATTTATGGGCTCATTGCTTCCATATTTCTTCATTAGACACTCATGGCACAAGCGCGTCATTGCTACCATGCTATTTAATTATTATAGCTATACCATTGTCTATTACATATTTAGAGCATTTTACTACACACCTGATCAATAGAGCTCATAAAATTTGCAACTCAGCTGCTGTCAAAGTGGAAAATAATTGCTAATGTCATTTTGCGACTACTTGCAAAGTACAGCTATTAACTGGAGGTTATAAGCTCAACAAAAATTTGTTTCCCAAAGCGGCCTCAACATTCTCTGAAAATCTACAAAGATCAATAACAAGTCACAAAAGACAAAAGAGCTGAAAGTGAGTATTTAATTAAACCCAGGTTGGAACGCACTAGGCTTACCAATACGACCATGCGCTTCTGCACTAAGCTTGAGGTAATTAAATTAACTGCATGAATAGTCTTAGCGTCGCCCCTACCTTGTGTGCTCAATAATTGCATAAACGAAAACAGCAATTTCGGTTTAACGGTCGTTTTTATGCGCTTTTGCATATATGAAAATTG